GAATGGATGTTTTTTTGCGAATGGAAGGACTTGTAAACAAAAATGGGTAATATTTGAAGTGAGTAATAAGTCTTGTATAGCAGTAAAGGGCAACGTTTGATGCGAGTAATAAGTCTTACATAGCAGTAAAGGGCAACGTTTGATGCGAGTAATAAGTCTTGCATAGCAGTAAAGGGCAACGTTTGATGCGAGTTATAAGTCTTGCATAGCAGTAATTAGAGACGTTGGATGCCGATCTGCTCTATGGTTCAGCTCTTTGAAGAACAAACTCCGACAGGCATAATTATTCTCTTTATTTCATCGTATTGATGCCACTCCGGTGTTTTGAACGTGAATAAGGTCAAATCTCCCTGTAGCTGCTTCTTCAGATGGAGCAACGCTATAAACAATTCAGTATAATTTTTCAACCTCCTGGCACGCCTAGCTCTAAATAGACGAGCAGATTCAATAATTTAAATACCAGGTTCACTTCACTGAACCTATATCTTGAAGGAACAAAGCTGCAATTATTGAGCAAATCTGCACACTAAACTATAAAAATGAATATAAGCTAGATGTATACGGGATGTCTATAATAAATAAATATGAGACACCACTACACAAGAATGCGTAGGCTGGTCATGAATTATTTATATACATATCATGGACAGGTAACTGATAGCACACACACGAATAGAGGCCGGCCTGGTGATCTCGCTTTCATAATCCACTATTTCAGCAGATTTTGTGATAAGGAAATCTCTAAATGGCATGTGCAATCGCCAAGGGAATTGTGAGATTGTTATCTCAAGGTTCAATAAACAAAAGATCTTTACAAGTCTAATTATCCTAACTATTAAGCAGAGAGGCGCATAAGAGTTATCTGAGAGCAATAATGAGAGTACCGACGTAATGAGAGGAGTCGCGAGAGAAGGACTCCGCTGTGCCCTAGAGGACGGACATTAATACTTACAATTAACACCAATGAATGAATAGTCTGACTATATTAGCACGATATAACCTTCACTAATAACAAATATAGAAAACAATAGTTAACCTCGTCAAACTCATACCTTAGAGTCGGGCTCTGCAGCCTCAGTAGCTCAGACCACCTCGCAGGGACATACAGGACGAAGTGCTTCTAATTCTATGACTAGGCTCAAAGAAAGGTTGCATGCCTGTCAGAAGTACGGAATGGGCTTACAATACTACAGGAATAAACTGCGCTTATATTGCCTTTGATTTTATATTACCATGATACAATTGATATAATTTAATACGGTGTTTTTATTTTTTAAACGATCGTGCAAATACATCAACTCAATTTTATCTTAAAATCAAATTTAATTTTAATTTAACCCCTGGTTTAATTCTTTCCATAGCTGAATCACTAAATTGGTAAATAATTTTTCTGCCAATTTCGATAATTAATTTTTTATTGAATTACAAATGCACGATAAATCCGAATCCATGAATTAACACATTTTTCCTCGTGATGATGCGTAATCACCGGACTTATAGAAAAGTGAAAAGTTAAGCTCTCGTAATAAATATATGTTCTGAGTCTACTTGAAAGTGTGCAATTCTTATCAAATTGAGCAAATTTGCACTGGGCAAATTTTCCCAGTGCGGCATGCAAAAGGTTATGTTAAGTACAAGGACAATAAACAAATTGGACTTTTATTTTCGAACTTGGTTCAAATGGTCGGAGCCTCCGATTGATAAATGCTAAAAATCGAGCGAATTTGCCACGCGAAAAAGGTTCTAAAACTGTGCTTGCCAGCGGAGTGAATAAAGGTTCGTCGTAATACGAACGACTAGACCCGGCACAACATACTGTAACTGCAGAAATTACATTGGAAAATAAAATTTAGTAACGCAGTAGTAACACTCAAAATTATAACGCTGCCAACACAAGTGTTCCTCTCAATTCACAGTCAATGCAGTCGGCTTGGGCTTGCCGTCCGGTCTAAATTGTTCTAACATGCGAAAAAAACTTGTTAATAAATTGTTCTAACATTCATGAAAAAGTAGCAAATAAATTATTCTAACATTCTACAAAACCGGTGTAAATTGTTCTAATATATGGAAAGTTTGAATATGAATGTAGTAATTTAAGCTTCGGTCACATTCGTTGGCTATTTAGCCAATTCCATCGTAAAAAAAACTCCGCGATTTCACCGCCAAGCACGACTGAATAGATAACTTTTTATTGACAGATCACCCTAAATGCAGGCATAATTATCAACAGAATTCATTAGATCCAGAAAAACTTATGACATTTTGCGTAACTACAATCATAAATTAGAAATATTGGCCTGAAGTTTGCATCGGGCGTCGACTGCAGTTCATGTGACAATCTACCGCTAATGTTACATAAGTCGCCACTCCGCAGATACAGCACTTAACTCGCCGGTCGTTTATGAAAAATATATTATCTGGTCAGAAATAATATTTGCAGGATTCAATTAACACATAATAACTACGAAGCTGTTTCGATCTTGCTAGAAACTATGGTCCAGTTTTGTTTATAAAATAGATCGTTTCAAGAAGAACCCGACGACGTTGGGTCTGTGGCGACACAATTTAAGTGCCATTGACGTTAGTTCATTTGGTGAATTTTGCTTCCGCACTTGGTGGCCTACAGTTTCTTGGAGCATAATTTATTGTGAATTTTGCGCATTTGGTCGTCAATATCTAATAATTTGTTTCATTTTCTCTTTCATTTTGTTTCTTTGTCTGTAAATTAATTATAACTTTAAATTTATTTCAATTTTAAGCTGCTCTCCAAGTTTTTACAACGGTTGGCGAAATGAGGCTCCCATATTTTGACTGCAGATTCCTGGAATTTTAAATTGCTATTTTTTCAAAACGACTTCGTTCTTTATTACTTGATAGCATTTTTTACATTTGTTGCCTTTCTATATACAGTTAGAAGTGACTTTTTAATGTTAACTGCAAACACAATGCAAAGCTTCTGTCTGTATTCATTAAAGATTTGCCAACAGGAAATCAGCGAATGCGAAATTGAATTACCATGACTGTCATTAAATATAAAATTACAAGCATATCTTTTACGAGAACCTGGAAAAATTTTTAAACATGTGACAATGGAAAAAAATTAGCTAGAACGGTAAGCTATTAACATATTTATAAGGCAATGGGAAAAAATTAGCTAGAACGTAAAACTATTAACATAAATATAAAAATGACTGGAAATATCGGCTAAGGTGTTGACGCTCGGTCTGCTCCGGCGCGGCGGCTGCCTCGCAGCCCTCGCCTGCGAACCTCCCTCAGTGTTGCTGTGGCTGTTGCAGAGTGCGTGTGTGCGGTGTCGGGTCCATCGTCCCTCTCCAGTTGTGCAGGGTTTTTCTTGAATGCTTATGTTTTGGAATCGATAGGCCCTAATTTCATGTTCTTTATTTATGTGACCACTACATAAGTAAAAATTGTCTTTGAAGTTCCCTTGCTCCTTCTGCTAGATTTGTCTTGATTTGATAGACTAATTTCGATGTTCGGTGTAATTGTATTGTAAAAATATTGCGTAATAATCATAAACAATTACTGTACGATAAAATCAACTATTATTCTACATTAATTTTTAACACACGAATTTTAGTATTTTATTTATCCGAAAATATGTTAGTTTCTTCTCAATCGGAAATAGATAACCCAATATTAATGTCTGTTTGTGAAGCCAGCAATCGCTAATACCATTTTTGTTCGGTGTAATTGAGAAGATTACAGAAACTACAGTTGGCTCGTGCCAAATTCTGTGTTATTAATAATTGCATGGAAAGCATAAAAGTCGTGAAACTACTTCGCAAACTATTTGCTTTTGCAAGCTCTTCACAACCTGATAATTGTGCAAGTGTAAGGGAAGTTGTGATATTTTTACCGAATTACTAAACTTTTATCCCTTGTATTTCTATGCATTGCAATTCATAGTGCAGAGTATCTCGCATTAAATTATTCGGCTTCTTCACATTGTAAGCCATCAGTGAACAGATGTTGTCGTCAAATGCCGCGCGTTGACAAAGTTGTAAGAAATATTCCGATGAAATCTTTGCAAAAATAAGCTTTGCTCTTTAGCAATCGATGAGTGCAACTCGAAAATTATCAACGATTCTTGAAGCGAGTGATATATTTGAAAAAAATTTATTTGAGATGCTAATTGGTGCTCGAAATGTTAATACGAGAAAAATTCATGGCTTTTTCAGTTATGCAGATCCTTTTTTTTTTAGCAACCTTTCGGAATATCATAAACGTGAACGACATATTTCTCCAACATATTTCTGACACGTCGCACTCATCTTTTTTATATTTTTCGCACTCTTCTCTAATTAATGTGTCATTTATATTGCGACATATTTGCGAAAAATGACTGTCCAGAGAATTTAAAATTAGAATCTTAAGAACTTAAATAAAAAAAGACAGTACTGCGACAAGAAAACGATCAATTTATGAGGTTAATTTGTAAGTTTCCATGATGTTAAAATTCCAAAAGAATAGCTTTAAAATTTGCGTCGATGGGCCTGCCTTTCTGCAGATGCTATTATAAGTATTATTTACATAAAGAGTTACAGTAACGTCGAATTGCAGGGCGCCATAGAACTAGAATGATAATTTTCACTTCCGTTCGATCGCTTGAACATATGTCTTCTTACCTTGCATTGAACGGCGTAAACTTTGTTCTTTTGAAAACCAATGTTCTCCTTTACAAAGAAGATTTTCCCGAAATTATTTTATACATTGAATTTGATAATGGAAATTTCTTTTACTTTTATATAAAAAATAACACAAATTGGTTATTGGTACTGTGACATTTGCCCTTCAATTATATATTTCTTATCTGTTTCAGACGAAAGTCAACATTGAAAATGACATTGAAAATTAGTTTGGATAATCACACAGTATTGCCCAAATATCCTTCACGTTACTGTACGATATCTATTCGGACATAAGTGGCGTTTTATTGCTCAAGCAGTTGTAGGGCTCACGTTGAGCCGGTCAACCAAATCAAATCCTATAGATTTCCTATTACTAATTATAATTATGCACTCTAATTCAATTTAAAGCTTTAAACACTCTCAATCATGGCTTATGCGTTCGGAAATTTTTTAAAATTTTTTATATGGTGTATTTGCGCTGCCAATCTGCAAGGCTCTTGTGATGGCATTCATATTGCAAAAAACTTCGACTCTAGTATGAATCAAAATATAATGAATAACAAAACTGAAGCAGAGTCTCGCACCAAAGGAATCTCTGAAGTTTTAAGCACCATTGAAAATTTAGAAAATGAAATCGCAGTTTTGAGTCGCGGTTCTTTCGAAGAAAAAGAACTCAAGAATAAAATCATTCGATATGATAGTAAATTTAATGGGAATTTATTTGGAGCAAATGTGAATGACTATATTCACCACAACTATGATTTTGATATCAATAGAAGTGAAATGGAAGGGAATTCGAACAAGAGCGTTAAGTTCGGAATGGAGGCATCAGCGATAAACTTCCGAGAAAACTCAACTGGTGATGATAACCCGAACTCTGTGATACAGAATACCGATACATTTATTGGTCCTGCGAAAAACTTTCGAAAGTTGACCTACAAATCATACAAATCTATCGGAAAACCAAAACCCTTGGAACACAGCGAAGAAATCCATTCAAGATCTCTGGTGGAACAGAAGACCTTAAAACGTCGTGGTAAGATGCACTCTTCCAACTCAATATCGGCGAGGAAAAAGTCAAGGAAAAACGCTGGAGTTTTTGAGTCCATTCGAGTTGCTGGTTCTGGAGTCGACGATTTGGCCGGCGGTTCTTCGAGGAAGATTCGAAGTGCTCCTTCCGGTGCCCTCAGTGATAGTGAGTACATACTAAAGTCCAAGATCCCATTGACTATTATTATTAATATATTTAATGTCATTATAATTTTTACTGTAATGTGTTGTTGTTATTATTATTATTATTATTATTATTATTATTATTATTATTATTATCATTATTATTATTACTTTTATTATTATTATTATAGGTATAATGATTTAATATGATTTTTATTGCCTTGTAAAATATTCACTATGTCCAATTCCAATATCTCAGTTATACGGATACGCAAATGCATAATGCACAAAAATCATTACAATCATCTGAGTGCTCTGCACTTTTGAAACCGATACTTTTCGAATCAAATCGAGAAACTTTGTCAATGGCTTGAGCTGTGTTGACTACAATCAACGAGTGCGATCCTTGGACCAAGTGATCTACTGATTACACATGCATTTTAGAATTTTTGAACTGACGATGTATAGCTGGACTGTAAAACATTTTCAGTAAAAGATATTTTTTTCTTGCATATTATTTTTCTTACTTTTAAATTTATAGTAATTTGTCATTCAAGCCAACGAGTGACATTAATGTATAATCCAGGAATGCTTCAATATTCCTCGAGTGGCCGCAAGTTGAATGGTTGACTGCATTTGCCCGCAACTGATAATTTCATTGAATTCAGCCGAGGATTGACAGCTGCATTACTCTAATTGACGGCACTGGAGGCAGTCGTGCGGTCGCTCTGCAATTTCTAACATAAAAACTAGCCGTTATTCTGTCATGGCATATGCGGCTGCTCGCAACAAAGATGAATTATTAAAGAATAATAACTTTTGGATCTATAATTAAAAATTTTTAATTATATTCGTGGTATAAACAGTAAAGAAATTCAGAGCAACATACGAGTATTGGTAATGTGAATAAGATTATTAACTTAATGCGTTACATGGGTACGTGGTGGTAGGATGTGCTAAAACTGCTACCATCAATGAATTGGAGCTGAAAAATAATTCACTTTTAATTTTTATCCATCTAATTCTGTCTTTTTTGTACTCCAAATTCGTACAATAACTCCTAATACAGTTTTTTGCAGAAATTTGACACAATCATAACTGTAAATTTAACTGAAAAATAGTGAGCTATGTTTAGGGCGTCTATGACAAACATTTAACTTAATACTATCACAGCATTGTAATAAAAACGAAAAAATAAGCACGGAATGCAGAACTTGGTCTACTAAGTCTCAGCTACTACCTTATATTATTGTGAACGTTCAATAGCTTGCGACTCGTGTACACTCTTGGACTGCGGCACACTGCGGCCATGTCCCATAACTCAGAGAAGTGCTGTTCCAAGTGACAATATTCCGCACGTCTGACATCAGTTTTATCGAGCCTCAACAACTTGTATGAGGTCTTCGTGGAATGTAAATTGGAAAATAAACGTAAGCCAAGACCATCGATTGGAGAACCAATCACGGTTCACTATCAAGGTGAGCGGTCCAAGAAGCAGTAAGTCACCAAGATCTTCACTGCCTCGTCCACATCCTGGGAATGTAGAGGAGATAAACTGGGTCTCTGCTAGCCTGAGATTCCTGGTCGTCATGTGACGAGGATTGTTCGCCTTTCAGAACTGTCGCTGAGCTCCAAGTTGGGAACGAGCGCCGGAATTTAGTCATTCTCTTGAATGCCTGGTTTGCCTCATAAGAAAAGTTAAACTCTTCCACTACATTTAATATGTTTGATTAAAATTCGGGACTACTGTTAAATGTTAGGTGATCTTTTCAGAAGTTTTATTGCAAATTAAATTTACACAGTCTTGAACTGCCTTAAACTCGTGTTTACGTTAAAGAGAAACTTTTACAATGCTGCTTTACGGAAATTTCATTCACTTTAAATAAAAATAATGCATTAATTATGTGTATACTGGTCTTAAAATGAAAAACTATTTAAATTCAGCCAAATTTATAAAAACTGAATTTTAGTTATACATTGCAATATAATTCAATAAAATGCAGGACTACACTGCAATAAATTGCATGTTGTGTGAACCATGAAGGCATATTACTGAAATCATGTACAGTTTTTGCCGCATGTTGTCAGCATTAACTGTGTGCCCAGCGACATTCTTTGCAAACTTTTGGCCCAAGTGCTGGATAAAAGTTTTTGATTGTGAAAAAAGTTTAGGTGGAGAAAATTTTATTTGTTACGTAAACTGTCGATGCTAAGGTAAAGTTGAATCATTTATTTAAAGATATGGATTGCTTGACATCGATCGCTTGGAACACTCGTCATATCGGAGGAGTGAAGATGTAAGAGCACTCTCTTCGTCAATATATAACAGTAATATCAATATATAAGGAACAAATTGCTTGTCAATAAATAGCAGGAATATCGACATATAATGTTATGACCGCTACATTCCCTTGCAGAAGTTCCGTTAGAGATACTGAAGCCTTCTGACCAATTACCGTGGAGTTTCTTCGCACATACTGAAACATTTCAGTCAATCACCGAAGAGTTTTGGAGCATTTTCTACAATATTTTAAGTTAAGCACCAATCGCTAAGCTAGCAATTATTTGCGGAAACATTACTTAATATATGCTAGATTGTGACATTACCAAAGCACAGAATATCATACCACAAAGAATACATAATTTGATCGTTTTTCTATCTTTTGTCTCGTTATTGACGTCATGACAAATGCTTACTTCGACGCATTTTTTAATGGCTGATTTTATTAACATAATAATCAGATATTATATATATTATCGTTATGTTTTTATCTAGATCATGATTATTATTTGTAATGAAGTGTTGCTGCAAATTTCCCACTACTGTATGTCAGACTACGAAGTTTAAGTAGGACCGACTCTGACGTCGGTGTTAAATTGATTATAGCCGTCAGATACTATGCCGATCCCGACTTGCGTCCTGGTTCCGCTCTTATAGGATTTTGACTCAGACGCCAGGGTGAGTTGCGTGCTATGGTGGTGAAATTTAGCTTGGAATACTTGATGGAATATCGTGATTTTTGTGTATATAACGACTTGTCATGCGTAGATATTTACTTTCTGTTTTCTGTTGTAGGATCGTGCGTTTTCTCAGATCTCCATGCGTAAGCTCTCTCCTCGCATTTTGCTCTCCTCGCACTTTAGCTTCCTCCGCATTTAATTTGTTAGTTCGTTTAATTCATATGCCGCACCTGTTTGATTTGTTTAGTTTCGATTCGCCGTTTATCTTTAATAAATAAATTTAAGAAAGTTTGTTTGAGTAACTATCCGCTCTGTCCAAGCTTTTGCTGATTAGGCCAATAGGGAAGTTGCATTCAATTTCCGGTCATTGGTGGACGTGACAATTAGACCATCCGAACTTTGAAGTGACGCGATTAATTAGCTATTATTCAAGATTAGTTCGTCACATTATTAAATATATTACTGCAGAGTATCGGATTTGTAGAAAGTATAGTTTCATTATTTATTTAGATAGTTTTATATTAAGATACAATAGCTATTATTGCAGTGTATTTTACTACATCTACGTTCTTGAATGTCATGTTCATATCATTGTTTATTTTACCTTATTTATCAGTACCAAAGAATCTCTGCAAACAAAAACTGTGACCTATGCCTGATATTCGCAGAAAGCACAATTTTATTATTAGTGAGAGAAAATAAAAAATTATTCTCGAGTATAATATTCTCCTAGTTTGACATTCATCGCAGACAAAAAATTTTACCGCAGCAAGATGGCAGCCAGCCCAGATGGTTTATCACCTACATTGAGCGACGAAGGAAGACTGCAACCTCATTAATTGATTATTCAAATAACTAATGGATTATTGTACAATATTACTAACTAATAATTGATGGGAAATATTTGAGAATGTCTAGAAATCTGGAACACGTAAGTGCGGTGATGGATAATGACGACACAGATGTAAATCATGTAACTGCTGTGATGAATAGTGACAGAGTTCCAAATCATGTAATTGTGGTGATGAATAATGACACAGTTGCAAATCATGTAACTGTGGTGATGAATAATGACACAGTTGCAAATCATGTAACTGTGGTGATGAATAATGACACAGTTGCAAATCTTGTAACTGCGGTGATGAATAATGACACAGTTGCAAATCATGTAACTGTGGTGATGAATAATGACCCAGATGCAAATCGTGTAACTGCGGTGATGAATAATGACACAGTTGCAAATCATGTAACTGTGGTGATGAATAATGACGACACGTATGCAGATCATACAAGTGCGGCGATGAATATGTTCTTATACAAATGTTCTTGTATGACCTAATTATAAATCAAAGATATAATCTTTGTTACAAAGAGCTTGAAATAATATAAAATACTAAAATAATAAAATAATATAATATAAAAATGGATCAAGTTGAATCAATCGAAGTTTGTTCAATAGTTTTCTGATTTTTCAATTTTATCAACGTACGTTGATCTGAAGTTCTGGCCAACAAATTATAAAGAAAAATTGGACTGAAGCATGGATGTGCAGAACTATAGACATTTTTCTCTGATATTCACGGGATACGGCCGAAGTGATTGTGTTTTCTATTTCTGTCTGTTTCTTTTGTCAGGTTTCGATTGTGCATATAGGCTTGTCGTGCGTACAGAGCCACTCTCTGTAGCCTCCTTTAACTAATGGCAGTGCTCTCGCTACAGAGGAAGGCAAATACAGGAGCCATTGAGGCCGTGAGAGAGAAAAATGAACGTCCATGATGCCACTCGTCGTGCAAACAACGAGGTAGACCTCACGCTCCCCTGAAGGATTAGGTCATTATTATTCCAATGTTTAGGTTGTATATACGAGAAAACACATGGTATGAATTTTGTTATTCATATGGGTGGAATTCGAAATGGTTTAAGAGGCGTGTTTCAAATTTCGGAGGGAGTTAAGTTCAATATTAAAAGTACAAAAGAGAAGGGGGGATTTTAATGGGTAACTTATTTCTGATTGATTGACAGGCTTGACAATGATCAAAAAAAAAGTAATTCGTTGATTTG